TGTATTGTATTTGCAATACGTTTATTTTTCTGTAACAGAATAGATACCTGTTGTTGCTGAAATGCATGTAACAAAATCCGATGATAATCAGCATGCAGAAAATTTTGCTGGCTAACTGTGACCTCTTAGCTTTGAACCCAGGAAATATTAGTGCCTGAGTGCCTGACGTCAGGCAATAAAAGGCTTTCAGTTTGTAGAAATATTTCAAAACGTTTTGCGCTATAAATATACAGTTATTATTAGCTAACTCTAAAGTACTTTATCGTACTAGCGTACTCCGTTTAGTAGGACCGTAACTCTCTCATTTTTTTTTGGAGAGCTACAGATCTGCAGCTATACTGTATATGAAGTTTGATTAAAATATCTTGGATAGTTTGTTTGGAAATGAGGCAAAGTGTGACGGAAGGAGATACGGCTCCAGTCCGACATGTCTATATCCCAAGCCATATTCATGGTGGGGCATAGAAATGTCGTGTATGATTATTGGTTTACATAAAAAATAGATTGTTTTGAGCCTTAACCTACATGTATATACGCATTTACAAAAACAAATCAACCCAACTACATACTGTATATGACATTGTATTCATTTTAAACATGTTAATAAGGGGGGGGTGTATTCTTATAGTGATGAGAGGAAATTTAACCACGTTTGGTCCATGAAACATGAAATTTTTGGAATGTTTGTATAGCTATAGGCAAAGTTTGAACTAAATTAGAATTTATTGAAATATTTAAATTATTCTTTTAGGGACGCCGTGATATATTTGGTATTCTGTGTAATAACTGTTTGGATAAAGTGTCTTTTGAAGGTACAACACCTTTCTTTTATATTACCAAAGGATTTGCTGAGCCTTTTTTCAGTATAGTCGAAATGCATGGGAGAAGGAAAAACGTATGTGGATTGTTCAAATACAAATTAATGCGATTGTGTTTTTCATCTAAATAAACAATAAAATGCCGTTTGCTTTGTTTAAAAGCTTGTTCATACGCGTTACCAATGTTCGAAGAGAAAACAAGACGTCCTTAAGCTATTTATTTCTAATGATATACGATGAAGATAATTAAGGTGAAAAACATTTGATGTCACCAACATTAACAATGACTGACCGGAAGGATGTTTGGGAAAGAATTTAAATTGATATTTTATTGTTGAGATACTGGTTAATGATAAATAGCATTAACTAATTTTCAATTTTTTAAAAATGTATTCTGAAACTCTGGATGTATTTTGGCCGTTATCTTCTATGCAAAAGTGCATATATGTATATTTATACTTACATTGGCTGTACATGTACAAGCATGTAAAATCTTGCAATGTTGAGATATTCTGTATATTCAATGAAAAAGTATATTATTTTGTACAATAACATTTTAAGTTTAGTAGGAAATAACTGCATACTCAAAAGTGCTTAATTTAATGTTGGATGTTTTCCCGTGAATTAGAAACGTCACCTCCAATTACAACTACCATGCACGTGTGTATGTAAGTTTAAGATTCATAAAACAATATCCACCTCGATAAAAACAGGAAAAAAAAATATATTGCAAACCCAGCTAGTGTTTATTCGGCTATCAAAATACATAAAACTAGTGCTAATTGTAACGGGGACCGTTACAGATGTTCCCCAAACGCTCCCCAACTTCCTTTTGGTGCCACATTCCCTGTAAGCTTCATTAAATAAGACAAACTCTATGCATTTGAGGCTTTAACAACATTTACCCAGAAAGTACCAAGTTCATTCAAATTTTAGAATTCCACGCGTGCGCATGTGAATGCATGTGCGTAAAGACCATATCATCTTGTCTATACAATCTATATATTTCAATATACTAAATATTAAAGTATTTAATTCAAAAGTATAAAAAAAAAATACGCTCATTAAACTGTATTTTTGATTTTACTCATTTCACGTAGAAGCACGTGCATACATGAGCATGATGGCATACTTTCTTGTAGAGGTCCACTACATCTATCTATGTTCTAATTCCCACCCCGTTTGATTGAAAACCAAGGGAGTTATAGCTGTTTAAAGTTTCAGCCAATCAGATTGCAGTGCACGTACACGCACGTGTATGCATGTGCATGATGACTATACCATCTTGTAGAAGTCCATTATATCTATCTATGTTCCAAATCCCATCCTGTTTGGTTGAAAACCAAGGGAGTTATAGCTATTTAAAGCATAAGCCAATCAGATTGCAGCGCATGTGCATGCATGCGTTTTCATGATAATTGCTATACATCTTATTGTAGGATATCCTAATACATGCCTATGTTTAAAATTTCAAAGGATTTCATCAAAAAACAAGAAAGATATTGAGACTTTAGTTTCAGCCAATCAGAGCGAAGCGCACGTGCATGCGCGCGAGATCTTACTTTTTTGACCATGTCATCTTGTCTATGCTTCTAATATATACTTATAATATGAGTTTCAAAGCATTTCATCAATAATTTAAATAGTTACGTCTGTATCAATTATATTGGACATTTCTCGTGTTGCACGTGCGAGCTCTTGCAAGCACATGTGCATGCACATGCTTTCATGATAAATCTTATAATACAGGCTGTAGATCTCCCTAATATATGACTATGTTCAAAATTTCAAATGATTTTATCAAAAAACAAAAAAGATATTGAGACTTTAGTTTCAGCCAATCAGAGCGAAGCGCACGTGCATATATCTTGCTATTTTGACTATGTCATCTTGTGCTTACTACTAATTTATCCTTACATTACAAGTTTCAAAACATTTCGTCACAAAATAGAAAAGTTACGGTTATATCCATTATATATTGGTCATTTTAAGTTTTGCACGTGCGCGCTCTTGCAAGCACGTGCGCGCAAAATGACCTTGATTCCGCAAATCTACATAACATGCCTACTTACCCTAAAAAGGTTTCACCTAAGTCGGATGTGTAGTTTACAAGATCACTCGCGGAAAAGATTTTCCCAGGAAGAAAAATAATAATAATAATAATAAGAATAATAATAATAAGAAACAGAGTAAAAACAATATGTTCCCCAACTTCGTTTGGGGAACATAACTAGCAATGAATAAATGTACAAGCGATTACGATTGATTTTAAACAAGCTGAAATAGAGTGAAATTAAATGATATGAAAGAAACTACATGATTTCAAACCCAATTTTCCATTTGTAACTATCGGAGTACACAATGGATTTTCACATATGCCCACTGTTCTCTGCAACCACGTGCTTGTAAACGAGGACCGGGCAACACAACTTTAGACACAAAGCGACAAAGCTGGATATAAACTGTTTGCTATATTACAAACACGTGAATAATAGTATATTATACAGTATTTTTTATTTTCAATGTTTATTTAATCTTTAAAAAGATGATATCCCGGTAAATAGAGAAACAAAAGAGTGATGGTAAAAATAAAACGTAGTACATATACAATATTACCTATCACTATCCATCACTATTTATAATTATTTGCCGAAGCCCCTTCTCAATTACAATTGAAATAAAATACATTAACACAGAATAGAGAATTTTTTTTATTTTGCGCGAACAGGCCAAAGAAAGCGAACACAAGTCAAAATGATTTTATGCACCAGTGTTTGGAATTACGATTAAATATAAAAGATAGGTGAATTAATCTTATTGAATCGCGATGTAATTAAAAACACAGTTTTCTATTAATTGATAGGTCTTTGTACACAATGGTCTAATACAATCATAAACACTTGCTTTGTTTATGTCCACAGGTGGCTGGTATACACTGGTGACCGCGATCGGCAGCGTGGGATTCTCGGCTTGTGTTACATAACTGTAACATGGGGATCATAAAATGTATACAACTAATGATCGTGAATTATTCGATGCATAAAGTTTAAGATTAATTATATAGTTTGTTACAATGATAAACGTAGAAAGATAGATTTCATATCTTCCGCTTTTAAAGACGTATTCACTATAAAACTAATTAAATAAAGAAAAATAGAAAAATTAGTTGTTATAAATAATTTAATAGTTAATCATAAAACACGTTTAAAACCTTATTTTGAAAAAAATCAACATAAAATACCGTAGGGAATATTATTTACAGCAAGTTATACACATGAAGAGGTCAGATTTACTTGCCGAATAAAAACGTTAAATGTTTACCTGACCTGCTTTCAACTGCGTATTATGCAATAACCCCGGTATATTCGAACAAATAAACATTCTCATCAGATCAAAAAGGTGTTAAAGAACAATTTTGCTCGTAAGATCCAGATCGAAATATTAACCGTTTTTGAGTTATAAAGCAAAAACTTCCAAGCTCCAAAGATCCCTAATTTTAGGGGCCAGCCCCTTTTTTATGGTATCGAATGAAAGCTCTTGCAATTATGCACAACTTTTCTTCAACATGTCTTAACAAAATATTTTTAGTTTTTAAGATATAAAGGTAAATATGTCGAATTTTCTGCTGTTTTCCGCGTTCTAACTTTTGACCCCTCTCTAGCGCCATTTTTAATGCAAAAATCAAAAAACAAAAACCGATGTGCACAACTTCAATGTTTCCTCTCCTCAATTCCAAAGGGTTTTATGCTCCAATTATTACCTTTTCTGAGCCTTTGTCTGGAAATCGGAGGTATGAAAAATTCAATCAAAGGGCAATAACTCATTAATGGAAGGTAATTTCCGAATTTTGAAACAAAATTCTAAAAGGGTTTTAGAAAGTCTAAAAGCTCTGGAAATTTGAACAAAATCCGTTCAGGAATGAGGAAGATATGAAGCGTCAAAGTTGGCGTCTAGGAAGAAAACAAAAAAAAGAATAATAAGAATAATCTTAATCTTCAGAATCAGTAGAAGGTCTTCCGTTGGAAACGGAAGACCTTAATTATAGTAAAATAAAAATTATGACATTTACACTCCCACCAAAATCAGCATGATTTTAGACATTCAAAGTTTCAATAAAGGTGTTAAGCTTGCAATCTACATATCGTCTAGAATACAACATACAACTATAACATAGCAGTTACATTAATTTGCAATGAGTAGCACAAGCTTGTGAACTGTTCTCTCCAAGACTCCAGACTGCATTTTCACCTTGACTCTCCGTACAAGACCATCATCGTCTGGGTTGGCTTCGACAACTCTACCGAGAGGCCATTGGTTGCGTGGCAGGTCAACGTCCTTCACCAGAACAATGTCACCTTCCTTGATGTTCCGACGAACTCCATGCCACTTCTGTCGTAAGGTGATCTGAGCCAAGTACTCATGTCTCCAACGGGACCAAAATTGTTCCATAAGGTACTGTACACGTCTCCAACGTTTACAGGCATATATGTCTTCCTTCATGAACTCTCCAGGAGGGGGAAGGGGAGAAGTGGTCTTCCCAGTTAAGATGTGGTTCGGAGTAAGCGGCTCCAGTGAGTCTGGGTTGTCTATCTCACTAACCGTTAGTGGGCGTCCGTTTACAATAGACATCGCTTCGTAGAATACGGTTCTCAGCGAGGAATCATCTAGCCTTCCAGGACAAAGTAATAGTATGGCGTTGAGTATGTTACGGACGGTTCTTATTTGACGTTCCCACACACCTCCTGTATGACTAGCACTGGGCGCGTTAAACACAAATTCACAGTGTTTCTCTGCCAAGAATGAACATATTCTTTCCTTGTTAAGTGCTTTCTGGAACTCATTCTTAGCTCCAATGAAGTTGGTTCCTTGGTCCGAGCGCAACTGTCGCACGGCTCCTCTAATTGCGATGAAGCAGCGCAAACCATTAATGAACGCATCCGTAGACATGTCATCTAACATCTCAATGTGGATAGCACGAGAGCACATGCAGGTAAATAGTAACCCATATCGTTTTATTTCCTTCCGTCCCTGTTTCACAATAAATGGGCCGAAACAGTCCATACCGCAGTATGTGAAAGGCGGAGATGGTTCCATACGCTCCTTGGGCAAGTCTGCCATTCTCTGTGTCTCTGTCGGTCGTCTCAACTTCCTGCATATAACGCACTGACGTATGTAGCTGGCTACTGTCTTACTTCCTCCTACAATCCAATAACCAAGAGACCGGAGCTTGTTCAGGGTAATTCCTCTTCCTTGATGAAAGGTTTCCTTGTGAGCATGTAAAAGAATCAAGTGCGTGATATGACCATTTCTGGGTAAGATTATTGGGTTCTTGTAAGCATCAGACAGGGTTGCCTTCCTCAGTCGGCCTCCGACTCGAAGTATCCCATCTTGTAGAATTGGTTCTAGGGGTTTAAGGGAGTTAGACTTTGGTAGCCCTTCAGATTTCTCGAGAGCGCTGATAGCATCTTGAAATGTTTCATGTTGAACGTGTTTGATGATAGTTTGTTCTGCTTGAAGTCTTTCATTCGGATTTGGTGGATAGGTTCCCTTGACACCATTAGAAAGTCTCTGCATTCTGGCAATGAAGGATATCATTTTGGTCCAAGACGAGAATCGAGACAGAATGTCAAGGATACTAGAATGAGCCTTTATTTTGGTACATAGAGATCTTGCAGATCTTTCTTCAGGGTCTCCAAGTTGCAACTCTGTTTCAACACCTTTGCTTTCGATGATGGGCTGCCATAGTAATGGAGGACTGGTCAGCCATGAAGAATCATTAACTTCAGATGCACGTAGTCCACGCGAGGCGTGATCGGCTGGGTTGCTGGCAGATTCAATGTATAGCCACTGATGAGGTTTTGTTGCCTCTCTTATCATCAGTACACGGTTTGCAACAAATACGTGGAACCTGCGAGCCTCGTTGTTAATGTAGCCAAGCACTAATTTAGAGTCTGTCCAAAAGTACTCTCTGTTGATAGGTAGATTCAGCTCCCTCTTCAGAAATAAACTGACCTTCACTGACAATACTGCAGCTGTCAATTCCAAGCGAGGTATCGTTACAACCTTTAGAGGTGCTACTCTTGCCTTTGCGATAACTAAAGCACAATGTACCTTCGTTCCCTTTACAACTCTAAGGTAAGAACACTGTCCATAGCCATTTGTGCTTGCGTCCGAGAAATGATGCAGCTCAAAGGTTATCGGTTTGCCAAAATCACTTGGTATGAGGCATCTTGGGACTTTGATGAGATCAAGGTTCTGTAGATCTTTGATCCAAGCTTCCCATTCATGTAGTCTGTCTGCGGGTAGAGGGTCATTCCATCCTATGTTACAGTACCGACCAGACCCAACCTGACACAAAGCAGTCCCAGAGCAGTCCTGGGGACTGCTTTCTGGGACTGCTAAAGCAGTCCCACAGCAGTCCCAGAGCAGTCCCACAGCGGTCCCATAGCAGTCCCAGAGCGGTCCCAGCAGTCCCAGCAGTCCCAAAAAGCAGTCCCAGTGGGCGGGGTTTATTAATTAAATGGGCGGAGCTAACTCAAAAATGAGATTTCCAATAAACAATGGAACTATAAAAGGCAGTAGAAATTGATTCTGGGTAGTATGCCAGTAATCCTTACATGTACACGAAGGTCATTTATGAACAAAACATGTACGCGCATAAAAATTGAAATAATTATTAATAATATTTATTTGAGGAAGAAGGTTTTCACATTTATATGTACATATATGAATTACACTGAACATGAATATTTAATCACAATTCTTGGGTACATTAATAATTCTTCTGTGATTGATACTGGTTCCCATGTTTATTTTATATGCAGAAAATTAAAAGTGAATTAAATATTTTCCACCAGAAGAAGCTTTAAATAGATCTTATCATTATATGGCCAATTTAGACTATTGGGATACTCTAAAGTTAGAGTTTTCTTAAGTATTGGGGCTTTTAAAAAAAATCTTTGTTAATTTTGCCAAGTATTATTTTTCAGTCATGATTATTTCTACTGACATGTCAATTTAATTATCGTTAATGCCTAGTTCTATAAAACTCAGTTTTAAGTGTTTATTTGTAAATGTTAGAGTATACATCTGTAAATCACCAGAATGGAAGCTTCAGATTATGTTCAAAATTAATTAATCCCGAAAGAAATTTGTACACATTTCATTCATATCATTGTTTTTGCAATAAATAAATTGAAATTAGGGTCATTGTTTACCAGCATGTTCAATGATGTGTAACACTGTACAAATACCCAAATAACATGTATCGATTTTTCTGCCCAAAGGCGATTGAAACAATGGGTGTTGATACCATCTTAGTAATAGTAAGATCATATGAAGAGAAATCTTTGTCACGAAGAATGGGCGGAGCGAAGCGGAGCCCATTCTTCGTGACGAAGATTTCTCTTCATATGATCTTACTGACTTAGAACAGCCAATCAAATGCATGGATTAAAAATAAACTCCTCCCACGGCTGTGTCATATATAAGGCTCAACTTGACCGCTCGTTGTACATATCGAGCACGCAGTCAATATCGAACACACGCGGTTTCAGAATGGACTCCCAACCCATTCAGGTTAGCACGGGATTATATGAAAAACCTTGATTTAATGGGGAAATGGTATGGTGAAGACGTTAAAGTTACTAACTAATGAATACCATAGGCGTTGGAAGTAAAAATTTTCAATGCCTATATTATTGTATATATTTGCAAGAAAAGCTAAGCCACACCCCCCGGTTAAACTTTATGAATACCCATGTATACCAAGAATCGTAATATCAACATTTTTGAAAAATGATTGTGGTAAGATGACAAGGCCCTAGTCAGCAGGAGTGGGTATGGCTGTTTAATATCAAATAAAAATTTGATGAAAATTGTGATTAAATCTGTCTTCAAAGACAAGGTTCGTCTCTGATATACATGACGATGGTTGTATTTTCTGTATGTACCGAAATGTGAAAAAAATAATGTTCAAAAAGGTGATAAAAGATTACAGTGGGAAAAATATGTAGCAAGGCCTAGAAAGTTTAAATATCATGATAGTAAACAGCACGTGGGTTTTGAATAGTTTCTTTTTTGTGTGCCCAACAAAGACCAATGAGGACACACCCATATAACTGTCAAGTGAACCAATCAGACACCGTTGAATTTTTCAGAAATAGGAAGAATTCTTCACCATGAAGAATCAATTCTGTGAGAGAAAAAAGCATTGGATTGGCTAAATAAGTAGGTTATGTTCTAATACACATTAATCGGCCAGGTAAACACTGCAAACTAAAAAAGATATAAACACAATTCCCGGTATTTTCATTAAAAAAAAATAAATATATATGTACTCTTTTAATAACTTGTTTAAGTTTAAAAGCTCCCGGTAATTCATTAGATTCCCCAATGATTATTCACATAGTTTATGTTACGGGAGAATAGTCAGCATAATTTTATTTCATGGTCATTTAATAAATTGTTGGGTTTTATTTGAGGGCTACATGGAATACGATGGTTTTTTAGCGTCATCCTTATAAAATGTGTAAAAATTTTTAATTTTAAAAATCTTATATCTAACTGTAATGACAGTATTTTTAAATAGTACCAATGCAAATTTTGAGTACATATTATTCATGTTATAATTTAACATTAAATAATTGAAAAAAGGTCCACATGAAGCCCATTTTTTTCTCATAAATTTGTACCGCTTATTTTTAGGGATAAAAATTTTCTCATGAATTCCTCGCGAGAATTTATCAACTTTATTTTTTTTTTATTTATTCTAATTACACATTAATTGTGTGTAAATATAACAATTGAACAGTCCCAGAAAATATTAATTAACTATAATAATCTCTACTTATTAAAAGAATGTAAGAAATATTGCTTATTAAACAGTTTAAACTCCTCTCTGCTGCAAGTAAACAAAACAACAGGGAGCCTGCAAATTCAGAATACACAAGGGGGCGATTTTGAGCTAAATGTCACTCAGAACCTTTTTCACACATGAGTGAACAAAGCAGTCCCATAGCTGGGACTGCTTTTTATAGCAGTCCCAAAGCAGTCCTGGGTAAATAGCAGTCCCAAATTGCAGTCCCAAGCAGTATGAAAAGCAAAACCAGGGACTGCTTTCTGGGACTGCTTTGGTTTCAGGTTGGGTTGGGTTACTGTACCTTGACACATCTCCTGCAGTATTCGTTTAGTCAGAGTAGAAAGGGGAGAAAATCCCAATGGGTCGAATATTGATGCTACAATGGATAGAACTGCGAGTAGGAGATGCATTCTGGTCGATGGCTTTGAAGCAAAATGCATCCTCTTCAATGTTTTTATACCAAGTGCTTGTTCCATAGGTAATTGTTCATGTGAAAGGTCAAGTCTTTAACATCTGCCCTCTCTCTGATTCAGCAACAGAATTTATTACGTTCTTGTTGTTGGTAAATTAATAAATTTTATAAACGCAATCCACCATTGGCACACAGAATCTGTGCATCTTGTATCAACTTGATAGCTTCTTCTTCCGTCTCAACACTAGGATTTACATCCACATAGAAAATTCTGCACAAAGAATGATGCAGCTTGAAGTTGCTCTTCTTGGCTTTTGGCACTTGATCCAAATTAGCACATTGGGGAGGAAGCCGCTATCAAACAGGTGTACTCTAAATACGATATTCCTTGGGGTCTGCTCCAAGTTTCCATCCTCCCACCATAGGAATCGTACCCAGAAAATGCTTTGTATGCTTGGATGTACAACAAACTGGTGGAACATCTTCTCCACATCACACATGACAGCCACAGTATGTTGTCTGAATCTGCATAGAACCCCAGTCAAAACATTTGTTAAAATGACAAGTCATTAGATATTCATTTAATGAAGCCTCTTTGAATCTTGCTGAATTTCAAAAACTATAAGCTTTCCAGGCTTTTTCGGGTGATAAACACCATGATGTGGGATATACCATGTATTTCCACTGACACCATCTGACGATACTGGTTCGGCTGTGAGAGAAACGCCTCTTTCCAGTACTTCTCTCATGAAAGTCTTGTAATGTTTTGATATAACTGGTCTCTTTTAAGTTTTCGTTTCAGATGATCTAAGCGAATCAATGCAAGTGACTTGTTGTTAGGCAGGGAGGGTCGCTCCTTGAATGGTAGAGGCATTTCCAAATGCTTATCCTCATGCTGCTGTATGTGCGGTCTGTGTATCAATATAACTTGGCACACAAGAAGTGTCTGGATGCCATATTCTGGTTCTCGGTTTTTGATTCTTCTTGATGAAGAGCTTGCTGCAATTGTATCCTAAAAATAGAAATTTCATGTGAAGAATTAGTTCAAAATGCTAAGCTCCTTCAGGTGTGGCCAGTATTACGGTTTTCCTTTCAATATAACTTGGCACACAAGTAGTCTCTCGTAGATGCATAATTATTGTCACAAATTCCGTAGACTTGAACCCTCTCACTCTCAGGTTCTGTATACGGAACTGTTAATGATAGTGTGCTGTGGTTGGTAAAAATAGAAATTTTGGAAATTCTATTCACATGCAAGGCAGCAGCTTTTGGTCTAGCACAAATAGTGTCACTTTGTGTGTCTAAGAGAGCATATGTCAATATCGGTTTTTGATTTCGAGAACGGTGTTCCGTGGTTACTAAAAGCCACACTGGAATGATCATGGAAATTCTGTGACAAAATCCTCTGCTCACACGAAAGGTTTTGGCTGATTTCACCTATAATTGTTGCTTTCTTGTTCATCTTCATGCATGCAGGTTGGGTGTTTTCCCTTGCAGATACCACACGTATGCTTCTTCTAAAAGTCCTTGTTTCTGTGGCCCTTGCGTATGACATCCAAAGCACAGGTTTTTCTACGCACTACCAACTTATCCTCAATAGACGAGTTAATAAATTTCTCACACTTGAACAAGGGATGTCCTTCAATTCTCACAATACTAACATTTATAAGTTTCTCATGTCAGTTCCCGTTGCATTGTGCTGATGAGTTGAATTTGTTGCGAGGACATTTGCTTTGTGACTCATAGTTTTTGTGCTCTCTGGCAGGTTTAGTGTCAGTTATTTTTAGTACCGTACATGTACATACACCCATTACAAGCACTATGCGAGCCTAGTTTTCAAGTCCACAGTGTTGGTTAAGAATAATGGATATTCACCAGTAGAGTCAATAGTTTCTTGAACTTGACGATTCCAACGCAGTGCAGCCCAATATATCAACAGTTTGCTTAATAGTAGAATCAAAAATCGTTTATATATGCTGTTCGAGTTGACTGTAGCGTTGTTAGTAGGTGGGTTGAACGGAGCATAAGTAGCCCTCCCAGTGTGTGTAACGGTTCAGACTTCCTCTGTCCCACAAGTAAAGTGTCTTTGTTTGTCGTTTGTTGTGTCTCATTATTCACTGGTTCGTTGTTTTCGTTATTAATCGTTGTATCATAGTTTTCGTTGGATGTTGTACCATTAGCTGTATCCGTAACATCAGGCGTTGTACCATCCGGGGTCGTTTTGTCATCAACCTTTGACATCTTGATGAGGCTGAAGTCAAATTCTTACTATTAGTGGCTTGGTCATAAAAGGAGAGGAATTTCATATATACTGAAAATGTCTTTATTAGTTCAAGGATGGTTACATCAACGTGAAAATGTAAGAGAGAAATACAAAATTTATCAGACAATAATTAACAAGAAAATCTAAATTACAAAAAGTACACAAACATGCACTAAGATGACCCTTTGATATACATACATTTGTAGAATATATTTATTATTATTCAATAATATCAGCTAATTGACAATTAATATGTAATATAAATAACATCTATACGTTTAGTTTAATTCACTACTTAATCTCAGTAAAATTATTACCAGTGACAATCAGAAAATATGACTTTGCTACTTTCATTTAACAACATATAAGCGTTACATATATACAAACTTGAATTCCATATGCGCCTTGCCTTACATTACCGTACAAAGGGCAATAACTCTAAGTTGATAATCACACAAAATTCCATGTGCACAACAAATAATCTCACAACCGATAATTTACATAATGAATCAGTTCTATTTAATCATTAAATTGGTTTGATATATAAAATACAAATTGCTATGGGACAAATAATTATCTATCAACATTTCACTACACGTGGGTCAAAAATGGCGCCATGTATAAAACCACCCTAGCCATGCTTGTACAAAAATGCTCTACATAGAGTATTCGTTATATCTATACTAAATCAGAAACATTAACTAACAAGATCAGGGACGTTAAACGTTACTATGAGCATATATAAGATGCATACATAATTGCTAATTACCTTGTTCTCCTGACCAAGTCGCTAAGTTTTAACTATCGTTCTGCGTTAACGTTAGGATGTACAAAGATGCTGGGCAGAAATTACGTAATACACAGATACTTGCAGAACCAAAGATAAGAAATAGCCCATCCGGAATTATTTACCAAAAAATTGTTACACACATGTTATTAACAAAATATTACAAATAAAAGACTTCATTAAAATTATAGTAAAATAAAAATTATGACATTTACAGAGAGGCATCTTTTCTAAAGATATTGGTGGCCGTGAAGCGCTGCTAAGCTCAAGATGGCAGGGATGTCTAACCAATGAATCCGTAGAGGGCACGTCCTTTTCTTTTCAGGGCATAGACAACGTCCATGCATTGCGGTGACGGTCTTCCTCTTGGCATGCTCCGTGTAAGTGACAGCATCGCGAATACGTACATGTCGTTCTCAAGGAAAACTTTCAGGACACTACGGGTCTCTTCATAGATGAGTCCAGAGATACGTTTGACTCCACCTCTGCGTGCAAGACGGCGGATGGCTGGTTTGGTGATGCCCTGGATGTTGTCTCTCAAGACTTTTCTGTGACGCTTAGTGCCTTTTCCAAGCCCCTTTCCTCCTTTACCACGTCCAGACATTGTTATACTCTCGGTACATATTCAGCTGGAATGCTGTAACCACCTAGTAATATATAGCGCCAATTAACGACGCGCTAGAAAACAAGGTATCTTGAAAACTTCGGTAGTGCAATTTTCTCGTCCCGAAGGCAGACAGTTAGCCTCGTAATGATTGGTTCTCGCTGTTCTGGTGTTAGTAAAGTTGATACACTTTGTACAGTTGTCATATTAATAATATTATATAAGTATATAACATTGAAAAAGAACATAAATAAATTTTTAAAATGTTAATTAAATATACCAAATTCATTGATAAATTTGTGAACTGCTGAAAATATAAGACAGTTCATATCATAAGATAAAGTGTCAGTACCCCATAACAACAGGTGTGTGTCTATTAAAATCGATTCGTCCAGTCTAAAAAGTTTGTCAAAAAAGATTATTTCTTGCTCTTATATATCTTTTACAAACAAAGAAAAAAGAAGATAAACATCCTCATTTTGACCACAGATACAGTTAGGAGATTCAATAATAATCCTTCTGTAAAGACTTTTTTCTTTTTTGTTTGTTTGGTTGTCCCCACCCACATATTACACTGTGAGTAAATAGAGTGCTTGTTTATATCACTTGTATACATATATCATGCAAAAATACAGAACAGCATTGAGTAGACTCAGATTATCTTCACAGGTTCCACAGATGAACGAAAATGCATATTTTGTACTTGGAACGAAATCAAAAGATGAATATCATTTTGTTCAAATATGTATTTTTTAATGTTGAGTTAAGAGAAAAATAAATTTATGTTTCTATTTTTTATGCACCCCCCACGGGTTCCAACCCCCGGACCCCCCCCCCCTCTGGATCCGCCAATGCAGACGGACTAACAATCAGAAAGATCGAAATAAATATATATCGCCCACATTCAGTAAAAGCGGTGGACAAAAAAAAATGAATTACCTATTCTGATATCATATGAAAAAATTTTGCGAAGGAAAAACCTATTTCGTTGATTTCGGGAGACTTTTCTGGGTCAGTTTGTTCCCCATTCTAAGAGACGTTTGTAAGTACACATGTACGTGTGCTTTCTATATGATCTAATGCTATATATTCGTAACTTCTTCTTAGAAATATTGTATACACTATTATAAGAAATCCCATGCAGAAAGTGAGGGGGTGGGGGCACCATGATTTAGCCTTGGAACCAAGAACCGTAGAGCTACCGGCACTCTTTCATAATTTTGCAACTTATGTTTTTAAATTATCATTATTATAATTAAAACAAGAATGAATACAATGAAATTAAAGCTAAAATATGGTTGTACCCCTAGTCTCAAGAGAAAAAAATCTGATAATCGCGATTGTTTTTCTTGTTTATTTTTTTCTGTTCGACTATATACCCACCTGGTTCCCAGCTCTACATTGACCTAAATCCCATGGAATAAATTACTGTCCCGGTCCTAAAGAATTGTAAATATTCGATTTCATTTTAGAAATAATCTAGGTCTAAGTCTACTCTCGAAGACAAAAAATATAACACAGATTTCTTTACATTTTTCAGGTTCGGTAGTTTTCGTACATTTCCGACTTCCGAGTCTACCGGCCACACTTCATGTTGTTCACGCACGAGCGCCTTTGCACACAGTCCTGTGAAAATAACTTCAACAACAGGGTACAGGGAATGTTCGATTTAATACGCTGGGAATGAGTCTTTGGGATTTTTCATGTCCATGTGAAGTTGTACATGTAAGGAGCCGCTCGTTCACCGGTCAACAGAAATTCAGATATATAGACAGGTGAGTATTGTACAATATATATACAAATGTACGTACAGTCCATTAAAAATAGCTTCAACTAGGCCCTACAGGGTACACGGAATTTTCGATTCAGAATGCTCGAGAGCGGGTGAGTCGTGTTTTTTTTTTCATGTCCATGTGAAGTTGTATGTAGAAGTTCCTCCACCGGTAAAGAGAAATTTAGGTAGACTGGTGAGCATTGATATCTAATGAAAAAAAACTTGGAATGGCCTAACGAAAAAAAACCCAAAAAAAAACTTTGACCCTGATCACTTCAGTCCAGAAAAAAAACACACCCCAGATTTTGGTTTTATAATTTTGTTTTATTTGTTTTAAGTTTTTTCTCTTTTCAATAAATTCGTATTCCTAGTAAATTTGTTTAGTTAGTGTAGATCTCACCTTTGAAATTTTTTAAATCCTCGCACGATGTAGAAATTTTTTTTCAAACTATCTGTCTAAACATGTATCTGTACAATGTACTTGTACAATATTAATATATCATTATTACATGTACATGTTTTCAATTTATGCTAACATTATGAGGAACATGTTATATATATGTTAAACATATATCAATGGAGGAAAATTTTTAGATTAAAAAAATACAAATGTGGAGAAAATTATGCAAAACATGATTTAACAAAGATAATTTGAAAGAAAGACTTACATGAGGGAATGATTTTTTGTTTACTCTATATAAATTATACAATGAATGGTTAATCGTGGGGCCAATGTCCGGTGTGAAATAACATCGGGATCGTAATACTGGAACGCCATTTGTGTGACATGTCCGTGGCGGGAAATGAGAGGTTGATCAGAGGGCCAGTGAGACGATGTTTAATGAGCCACATGATACTATTTATAGGTAAATCTGTTTTTATTTTAAAAAGCTCAAGCAAAATGAAGTTTTAGCTCTACTGGTCCGAGATCAGAAGCGCTTATCGCCTTTTGTGATAGTTTGACGTGTACAAGGTCTTTGTCTGTCTGTAAACAATTTAAGAAAATGTTTTTTTTTATTCTTACAGTTTTCATGTTTTTAATGTGACCAACGTCTTTTGGAGTGTCTGTTCATCTACTTGCCCGTAAAATACATTATTTAGGGACAGTTTTCATTATTTTCTTTTTTCTTCAATGAACATTGTGGAAAAGTTCAAAATTGAATAAGAAAAATATGTAGCAGTTCACCCTCATTTTTCAATTTTACAAAAGAAGGTCACAGTTTTTTTAAGCATTTGATTTCTATAAAATATTCAAGTATTAGTATATCCGATGTTGAAATAACCATGCACCCAAGGCGTGGATCTCCCCCCCCCCCCCCCCCAAAAAAAGGGGGGTCCCAACCCAGTCAAGTTGACAATCCAAAAAAAAACTTTTAACTGAAATCCTCTTTTGGTGGTGGTGGTGGTGGTGGGGGGGGGGGGGTGTCATTGACTTTTCAAACTTCTTACCAATGACTTTTCATACTAATTCCACACAGATCTGTTTCAAACGAATTTTTTCCAGCAGTCAGCCCTTCATGCAAATCTAACTTCTTCATTTACATTTTTACGGTGAAACAGATTTATAGAAAGTGCCAGGGACAGATGATTTTACTTCACTATTGTCTATATATAGATGTATCTGTTTAGTATACAATATATTTATAGCCAAGGTGAATAAGAACCACTTTGCTATAAATGTCAATTCTTTTTAGCTCACCTTAGCCATAGGCTCAAGTGAGCTTTTCTGATCACATTTGTGACCGCGACTGCGAAAAAGGGTCCAGATGCGGCACACGTCATAATGAGAAATCGGCGATAGTTCTGAACGTTT